TTGTTAACTGCGAGCCCAAGGCCAGAGGCAGCTGTTAGTTACTAAAGATTTAATTACTTTGTACTTTCTTTATATATATTTTGCTGATTATTTGTTTACTTAGTATTTTGTGATCTACAGGAAAGAGTTTATAAATAACTAAATAATTAAATCATTAAATAGTTTAAGAAAGTTGTTATTGCCACCCCCCAAATTTGTTAATGCCACCCCTCTCGTGATCTGAGCTAACCTCCGATCTACTTCAGATCTATATCATATAACTCGAATAACATAACCAGTGTAACCAAAATTTATGTCAAGAAAATCCCAGGCTGAAGATCGCTGAAGATCACCTTCGCCCTATCCAGATCCAATAAAATCACAGGATCTCGTGTAACAAAACAAACACAAAAAACATAAGAAATTGTAAAAAAATGGAAATGACACAAAAATTTTCTATGATAACTAACTTCTGAACTCTAAGTAAAAGTTTCAGAATGAAATTTTACTTATATGACATGATTGTTAATATTGGATATATAATGAATTTTTGATATCCTACGACCCATATCTTTTTGGCCGGCAACTCAAGATTTTCTTGACATAAGGAAATTTCCAAAATTTCGATATTACAGTTATAGAAGTTACATGAACACAGATCACAAATTAGCATATCATTAACCAATTAAATTTGTGCCTATGTTCGTATAATTTCCACGAGAAAAAAAAATCAAGTAGTGCACTAAAATGCTCGAGCATAACACTAGAGAGTCCCGCTTTGCATTTATTAGGTGGTCAAACTTTTTAAAAAACTTGCATTCTGGTTACTAGTATTACAGTACTTATATATGGGGTAGTCTAACTAGTATAAATTTTTTCGTATTTCGATAATATAACTCCAGATCTATTACCAGAATCTAAAAAAAAATTTATTACCAATAAAATTTCATATTAATGCTATTTAAGGTAAGAAATGAATGTATGCTAATTCTATGAATAAAGTCACGCATTGGGACAAGTTCGGCAATTGTGGCCAGTTTGATGGCATGTACCACATTGCTTTGACCGTTTTTCAACAAGTTCGAATGCAGATAGATCTCTTCGTGTCATTCTTGTATTTTTGTTTCTTGCACCAGCTGGTCTTCCTCATAGCTAATGGGTAACAGGATTTTCTAACACAATTGGTGGAGTATTCACCAAATTTTCTAGTTGGGAACAGATAGTAGATTGTTGGTTTGGTGGCCAAAATTGGTACATTCGCTTAAGAGATTGTAGAAGGGGCTGTAGATCGGTGCAATCATCATTTACAAGATAGGTAGGTTTCAGAAATTCTATTCGACGTCCTTGAATCCACCAATGTTCATGGATATCAACCAGTTGTAATGGTTGATTAGCTGCTAGACATTTACTAATTACATGTGAACATGGAAGCCTCATTGTGGTTCTAAGAGTTCTTGTGCAAGGTCTTAGAGAAGAATCTAAAGTTGCAGTTGATGCTTTTATCCACTCATCACAGATCTTATTCAAAGCGAAAACAGAAACATTATATAGGAGAGGTTTAAACAGGGAAATCTGGTGTACATAAAGTACTTTGATATGCTGAGAAGAAATTATTGCACGCATTTCTCTTGCCTGAGACTCTACTTGTAATACAATTTTGTGATGGACTGACTCGAGACACCTGTGGATGGGGTTGGAAATTAATATAATTTTATGTAATTTTGAGTATTAGTAACTCAAATTTTATGTAATTGTAGCTTAAAACACATTGTGATTTTACATCTTTATAATTTTTATCTTTAAATGTCGTAATGAATAAGTTGCAATGTGAATCAAGTATTCGACATAACAATAGTGGCTAAACTTTTGTGATGCCAAACATTACAATGAAATCTAATTTACTGAAACTTACATGAAATTACATAAAATGTAAAAATGTAACTTTCATAACATAGCCCTACCTGTGGATGATTGTAAATACCTTTTAAGGATGGCATGTGCAGCTTCTACTTGTGAAGTTACCTTGTTACCAAGGTGAAAATAACGATCAGTCCAAGCAGAAACAAAGCACTCCTTATGAGTAATCCAGGTCTCTTGAAGATAACTCAGAACTTCAGGTATGTTTTCATAACAATTTAAGAATTCATTCTATTGGTTTACAAATTCTTGCTCAGTAACAGATATTGCCACCACTTGCCACATTTTCATGAAGTCGATCCAATCTGTTTCTGTATTAAAATAATGTTTACACTTTGCCAAAACATTCTTATTGATGTGCCATATGCATAAAATGTGTTGAGTACTAGGAAAGATTTTCTCAATAGCCTTCATTAATGCCAGTTCTCGGTGGGTAATTATGACACTAGGGTGAGACAATTCGCTGAAAATTTTTAATATACAAGTCAAAGCCCACTTATAATTAACCTCTGTTTCATCACTTAGGAAAGCAAAGCAAGAAAAAAAGGTTGTGTTGAAACTCGATACACCAATAACATTCATTAGAGGCATACGATATTTATTGGTCTTGTACGTGCAATCAATAAGTAGCACAGTAGGATAAGTACAAGTTAGAGAAATAGATATCCTGTGTGCAAAAAAAAGATTTGTTATGCGATTTTGGTGATCATATTAATATTTGAATTCAAAGTCGGATCCTTGCAGTTCATCAATAAGGGCTTGTACTGGCATATGACCGTTAAGTCTTTCTTGGCAAATAGAATATAAGGTGTTATATATTGTTCTGGATATAGCCATTGAGGAGGAATCGTTCTGATGAATAGTTGCTAAAATTTGACATGGATGGGAACCAGCAGCTGACATTCTCTGAACTTGTTCCCATTGCTCAACATTTAATTTTCAAACGATTGGGTGACCAAGCATATCAACTGATGCTTCATAGTTATGTTCAGAGTTTCGAATTTCAAGATACCAAATAGTTTACGTCTAACTCCATAAAGTTCAAATGGACAACTCAAAAGCCTTAAGGCTGTCTGTCTACAACATGAATTATTTGTTAAATTTAGTCTGTTTCTATAGGAACCGCTTCTATCACAACCTAATGTCATATTTTTGATTTCGCTATTTTTATCTGCTTGTGACCTTTTTATTGTTACTGCATATTCTTGGGTTTTAGAAAAGGCTCGTACATATTCAAGAAGTTCATTATGGTTGGAAAATTGATTAGACGGAGGTGGAAGCATTTGGTAAGGGATAGGGTATGCACTATATATATTATGATGAGTT